ACATGCATTTATTTTGTTATTTTATACATTTTAAAAGATCATTCTTTTTTTTTTTTCTGAGAGGGGGTCCACAGGCTTCACATGACTGTCAACCAGGTCCATGACACAAAAAGGATAAGAACTCTGGCTCTAGAGGCAACATGGCTTAGGGGAAAGAACTACGAATTTGGGATCAGAAGACATGGTTTTGAATGCTTGCTTTTCTATCTACTACTTGTATCACCTTGGGCTTTTCATTTCTCTGGTTTTCAGTTTCATTTTTGTAGCTGTGATATACCCGTTTTATCAGAAAACAATTCTATGTAGTAGTCAAATTATGCGACTTCCCAAAAGAATACTGTGATTAAGTGGAAATATTATTCATTTATATTGGCACTGGAAAATAAAACCCTCTAACAAAATGCTGAAATTGTTCAAAGTTTCACAGGGGTTAGATTTAATCACCTCCAAAGTGTCTTTCAGTTCTCAATCTAGGATCCGCTGAAATGTCACCAATGCCATTTATACCTGATCATCCAGTCAGTCAAGAAATATTTATCAACTTCCTAGTATGTGCCAAGCAAGAGCTGGTTTTCTAGTCTGCAAATAGTTTAATATTCATATATATTTCTGTCTTCCCTACTAGTCAGCCTCTTAGCCCTTCCAATCCAAGGGGTGCACTGTGCAGGCAGAAAGAGTAAGTAGAATTCCATTTGGTTTTGCTATTTCTTGGCAGCTCTAGTAAAAGATTTTGTGGACAAAAGAAGATTGAAGACAACTGATAAAATGAGATATGGTAATTATTTGTGGATTCCTTTATTCAGACTTTCCCTATAGCTCATAACTTAGCACATTAATAGCTGGGATAGACTTCTTCCCATAAACCAAGTGCTTAATTTGGCCTCATGCTAATGTTGAGCCGACGCTATTAGAATCTTATACTAATAAGCAAGGCCAAGCACATGGGCCATGGCCCCTTAAGAGTTAGTCATGGTAACATAAACTGCTGAAAGAATAAAGCTAATTCTGTAAAGAAAGACTGCAAATATTGAGTCAAGGAGAAACTAGTAAGTGGAGAAATTTCTGTTAGAAGAGACAAGTCACAAAATCATTCTGCTTCCTGGCCTTTTTTTGTAACCCTGAGGGATTATTTCAAAAGTTTGTTTTCAGGAGTCACAGCTAGTCAGCCCTCCTGGCCCTTCTCTATTATAACAGGGAATACCAGTCCCCTGATATTCATTTAAATGAAGTCAACTTTCTGCATAGTAAAGTGGATAGACAGCTATCCTAGGAGCCAGGAAGACCTGGATTTATGTCCTGTGACCCCTACTACTTTTTCAACTCAGAGAAAGCCACTCAGGCTCTCGGTGCCCCCTCTCTAAGACCATAAGTTTAGAGAAGGCGTCATCATCAATCTGCATTGGGGGAGACAGCTTCCTTGTTTGAGAGGAACTCCTTCAATATATATTTAGGAGTTCCCTATTTGAATGCAATAGCAGGATCAGTCCTTATCTCAGTATTACCGCATTTGAACCAAACAACCCAACAGAGGTAGAAACAAACTGTAGTTATTATCATTTTTTATAGATGAGGAAATTAAAGGTCAGATGTGCTAAATCAGAGGATCACAGCAAGTTGCAAGAGACCTCAGAAGCCATCTGGCCCAGCCCATAACAAAAAGGGACCATTATAATGAATGATCATCTAGCTGGTTTTTGAATACTCCACTAAGGCAGAACCTACTCTTTAACCCCATTGCACTCTTGGTTATCTCTAATAATTAGGAATTTTCTCCACCCTCTGCATCATTCCTAAAGTTGATACTCTGCATATTTCCCTCATGACTCCTGGTTCTTCCCCATGCCATTTATACCTGTCCAAAGACAACAGTCTTCTTCCCTCTTAAATGACTTGTTCACCACAATACAGAGACTATCAGAAGCAGGGTTTGAATCCAGGTCTTGCTGATTCCAAGTCTAACACATTATCCACTAGTCCATGCTGACTTTCAGAGAAGAACTCAGGTTTAAAAAACAAACAAACTTTTCCATCGATACTGGTATGTTGTTTTGCCTGAGGTTTCTTACCCTCTGTGGACTTCAGTTCTCTTTATGGAGTTAATGACTTACCAAGAAGCAACACTGAACAAAACTCTTGAGTGGACACCACCAGCATGGAAAACAGCACTACTGTTTTTAGTTAATAAGGAGAAGGGCTCATGATATGAAGACCATGAGAGACAAATCAATGAGCCAGAAGTGAAATATTTATTTAAAAAAGTAATAAGTGAAAAGAAGTCAGGGCCTGAGGACAGCAATAAAAAGTATATCAGGAGGAGATAGACCTAAAAAGTAGGCTGTGCATTTTACTTTAATTAGAGAACCACGAATGGGACACTATCAGACTCCATCCAAACAAGGGCTTTCATAACCTGATACTTCTTCTTTAAGGAATTCCAAAAAAAAGAGAGGAATAATTTAGTTTGCTCTATTCTTGAAAGAGCACACACTATCATTAGTGTTTTCTTCATGAGGAAAAGTTTGATTTATCCCATGTGCTCATCACTAGAAAAATACCTTGGTGAGCACCTCGGCCCAGAGCCCAGGCAGCTCGATGTAAAGCAAACAAAAAACAAAACCTTGAGAAAAATATAAGGATCATTCGGTTAGCAGGAATTGGCTGATATGCCCTAACCTTCAACTCTGAAAGTATGATGAACTAATATGGTTGATCTCTTAGCTGCAGCAAATGTTCAAAAATGTTGGAACGGAAGCATATGAGACATGAGGGAGTGAACTGGGTCTCTGGCCAGCCAAAAAGTCACTGGTATTATAGGATGGGCAATTACATTTAGAATTCAAAAGAAAATAAATAGTTATGAACCCTAAAAGCAAGCAGGATGGTATAAATGAAGCATAATCAGTGAGATTTAATTAAAAGAAACATTTTTAAAGGACTATATGGTATTTCCTTTCTTTCTTCTTACCTTCCTTCTTCCTTCCTTCATTTCTTCTTTCTTTCTCTACACTCTCTATTTTGTTTCTTTGTTCCTTCCTCTCTTTTTTCTTCTTTCTTTCTTTTTTATCTCTATTTCCTTTTTCCTTTATCATTCTCTTTGTGTCTTCCTTCCTCCCTTTTTCTTCTTTCTTTCTTGTCTCTCCTTTTCCTTCTTTCCTTTTTCTTTCATTCTCTTTCTTTCTTTCATGGTTTCCTTCCTTCTTTCTCTTTCTTTCTCTTTCTATCTCTCTCTTTTTGTCTCTCTCTTTTCATCTCTTTCTTTCCTTCCTTTTTTCTCTATAATGACTGGGTATAGACTTCTATAGCCTTAATTTACAAAATACTTTTAAAAACAGGGATTAAATGACAACTTAAAAGTGCTCAGATTTGAACAGTTTCAGAGATACAGTTCAGTAGAACTGTGTTTATCATAGGGGCAAATTGCATTAAAGTTCTTTGGGGATTTGCAAGAATAATGATTTCTACAGTCATTTACTTGTGCTTAAAATTTAGCACAGAGCATAAGAACTTATATACTACCCCTTTCCACCCTAAAATGGAAATAGATTAGGGTTAAATGAGACTTTTCACACATTAAGATTTCATCTTCATATTTCTTCATGGAACAATGGTCCAATAACAGGTAAAGTTCAGTAGGAGGTCCAACAGCCCTGGATTGGAAAATGCTATTTATTTTCCCCAATGCTAACTGCAGGGGTTGGGAAAGGAAGTTGAACTATTTCTAGAACTATTTAGGTAGCAATTCATACTAAGTGCTCTTAAGAATTACTGGCTATAGCCAATTTTAAATAAATCTCCTTGAAATGAAAAATTCTGGAAACTGTTTCTCTAGGATATATGTTGCCTTTATTTTTAGTTGTTCTTGTATTAACCATGGTGGCATTCTCCTATTTGGAATGTGTCTGTTTACTGACTGTTTACTGAATGTTTAATAAAGTGTATCAGGATCCCAAATGTGGGCTTCTCCTTCCCCCCCAAAAAAAGGAAAATGCTTTCGTCCAGATTTTTTTTTAATGTCATGCTACCAGGTAACATGTATAGACTTGATTTCTGTTTGAGGTCAAGTAGCTCCCATTCCCATAAAGCAAGCAAACAGTAAGAATAAGATTTTTTTCTAAGGACCTAAGAACATTATTACCTCTGGATTAATAGTCTGTATAATTAACACATTGTTCTGGGAACCAATGAAAATACTAGGTACCTAATACACTGTGCATAGAGAAGTGTATGATACCAAGGTGCATACTCCTAAATTTAAGTTTAGACACATATCTTGTTGTGATTTCTTTATAAATAAATCACTTGCAATCTAGACCACATGTACACAATGATGCTATTTATTAATCACATGAAATCTGTATATAATTGGTTAATTATAAAAGCATAACATCTATGCCCCCTAGCTCTAAATTGAGGTATTCTTATCGTTTTGATTAAGGAATCAGAACACCATTGCACAATTTATTTCCAAAACACTAATCCCTTAGTGAATTCTTACACATAAACTCAACTCTGATGTACACAGCATTTCAGCTCAAATGATGAAGCCCAGTACTATACACACAGAGCAAAAGAAGGTGCTACAGTGGATGAAATATGTAACCTAGTGGTGGAAGGAAGTCATTACAATTCCTGTAGTTCCTAACACTATCAGCAATTCAAATTAACACTAAGAACAGGGGATTGGGAGGTGGACTTATAGAACTCAGCATGTTTTCAGTGAAAGAAAAGAAATACCCAGAGCAAAAAGAAGTTTATATTACAGTGAAGATAAGTCATACTTAGGTATCCCCCCAAAAAAAAAATCAAAGTGAAAAATAATGAATGTCATTACAAGATGACAAAGAAACAGAAAAGTGGAGCTTTCTGGGGAAAGGTGGTTTGGCCTTAATTTACACATGTAGCATTAATGCAAAGTTAGACTATACTGACTGCAGAGCTGCTTAGCAGGTAAGCTTTGAGAACCAAATCCACAGTATTAAAGGAGGAAACTTTCCCTTTTACAGTGCTGGAAAGTAGTGATGGTGGGGGAGGGGGGGAATTGAGGCAAAAGGAAGAGTTTGTATTTGATTAAACTTTCAAGATGTCCTGGATTTGTCACAATACCTTTCCATTTTGCTCAATGAGGCTCCTGAAAACGTGATTCTGTCTTGTTCTATTCTTTTCATAGTACTGTATAAAAATACTCAAATCCTCGGGACTATGTATGTCACTCTAATATGTGATCTTGCGAATGTCTGAACTCTGTGTGAAAAGGGAAATATTAAAAAAAAATCTACCTGCACAAAATGGGGGCATTGCATTTTAAATCATTAGATTATAGTCCTGTGTCATACTTTTCAGGTTCTAGTCTGCTAGCAGTATCGTTTCGATAGATGTGCTAGGGGCAGTGCCAAGACCAGCTTCACTTTTTTTCCCCTTTTTCTTTTAATCCCTGTGGGGCTCTGATTTTTTTTCGTAGCTGGACTAAAGTTGTGTCAACGGGAGACTTGCACCATAAAGACTGAAATGTTAAAGAAAGCTACAAGGAACAGCTTTGAGGCAAGGTTTCAAGCTTTGTCATCACGCTTGAAGAATTTTCTGTTTAATGTACTGTAATGCAGTATTCAATGGGGACAAGTTTAATTGAGTTTTACACAACCCAGTTGGGAGTAGCGCTGCAAGGTAGGTGATGTCTAGGTTTTTAATCTTCCACTCCGGAGAGGCTTGTTGACGGAGAGGTTCTTTCTCTTTGTAAGAAAAAAAAGGGAAGCATGAGAAATGATACATCCGTGGATAAAACCAATTGGCAACCCCCAAAGGAATGAGGGCGATAAGGCGAATCCAGCACTTGTAAGAAATAAAAGAATCCAACTGTTCATTTAAATGAGAAACAACACGTGCGAAGGAGGAGGCAAGGAGGCTGGGCGATGGAATGAGGAGGAACAGAAACTGACGAACAGAACCACTGATATGGGAGAAAGGAGTTCCAGGAAAACAATCAAAGGTTTGTTAGGGGGATTATCAAAGAGATAGTTAATGATGTGTATTTTTAAAAGAAAAATTAGGGGGAGAAGGGTCATTCTCTGTCAGGCAGAGTGGATGAAGTGGCAGGAGGGAGGGAGCTGCTGTTACAACAAGCCTCACTTTAAAACACACACACACACACACACACACACACACAGACACACACACACACACCCCATATCACACCCGGTAAAAATAGCCCTGGCCGAGAGAGAGAGAGAGAGAGAGAGAGAGAGAGAGAGAGAGAGAGAGAGAGAGAGAGAGAGAGAGAGAGAGAGAGAGAAAGAAAGAAAGAAAGAAAGAAAGAAAGAAAGAAAGAAAGAAAGAAAGAAAGAAAGAAGAAAGAAAGAAAGAAAGAAAGAAAGAAAGAAAGAAAGAAATACTTTCCATATAGGCTCCTATGTATTAAACTTACTTGACTCCAGCAGCAACTTGCTGCACTTCTTCACCCACCTAAGCAGCTGAAGGCACAAAATATCCTCATCCAACCACTGTATCCGGAGATTGTCTTTCTGTTTTAGTTTCTCTGTCACTAGGATGAATAAGTAACTCTTTAGTTGGTCTGAGCAAAACTATTTCAAGGTTTTTTGGGTATTTTTTTTAATTATCAATTTTTCAATTGCCAGCTCAGTAAGAGGGGTAAGGAGATAAAGGATTATAGTGTGTTAATATATTTAAAGTATCCACTTAAAAAAGGAATTTGGGTTCTTTATCATTTCTTTATCTGCCAAAGTCCTCTTGCATGGATTTAACTCATTCTTAAGACAGAAGGGAGATAGATCTCCCTGTGCAGAGTCTCCCACCCTTTTAGGGTTGTTCCTCCTTTAATGGCTAATGTGAATACCTGTGGCTGATTTTTAGTATATTTTGGAGCCTTCCAGAGCAGAAAAAAAAGATGCATTACTTAATACAGATTTCCCTTGAATTCCTACCTTCCCCCAAGAAAGGAAGACAACTTTTTGTTGTTGTTTCCACAAAATTTGGTCAGTTTTGTGGCATGCAGATAACTAACACTTTATTGCTCATCAGAATTATTGTTGACTTGGGACTGTAGCATTATTCTGGGAATTTTGTTTTCTCAATATGGAATTTCCAGGACAGGATCCGCCACGTCATGTCCTCAGCAGATTCACAGCTGGCTGGGACTCTGGAAAAAAAAGACAGCATTTCTTCAAACTAAAGAAAACCTAGAAGCGATATCATACAACTTCCTCATTTTACAGAAGAGGGAATTGAGGCCCAGAGAAGTCAAATAATCCACTTCGCTCTGCTGCTCCCTATTATGACTACTCAACAACATCCTGGACTTCTCATTTTCCCTCACCCCACACATCCATTCTTTTGCCAAATGATGTCCTTTCTACCTCTACGGCATATACAGAATCAGTTCCTTTCTCTTCATGAACACAGACACCACTCTAATTCAGTACATCATCACCACATGCCTGGGCTTTTGCAATACAATTCTAATTGGCCTCCCCGCCTTAAGTCTCTTTCCTTCTCTCATCCTTCCTTCACACAGCTGCCAAACTGGTTTTCCTGAAGCGCAAGTCTGACTATGGCACTCCCTTACTCAATAAACTCTCTTGGCCCTCTGTTAACTTCACTAGTCAAATGTGAATATTTCTATTTTGCATTTAAAGACTTTCACACCCTACCTTTCCAGTCATATCATGTGTTATTCTTCTTTCCTCATGCACTACTCATCTCCTGTCTCCTGGTTTTATTTTCCTTCTTTGTCCCACATTCCTGGAATGCACTCCCTCCTCACCATTCCCTCTTAGGATTCTTAGTTACCTTCGAGGCTCCTTTCATATACTTCTCTCTACATTAGGGATTCTTAACCTGGGATCCATGAGCTTGTGTTTAGATGATAGATAGATAGATAGGTAGATAAATAGATAGATAGATAGATAGATAGATAGATAGATAGATAGATAGATAGATAGATAGACTATATTTCAATTGAATTGATTTCCTTTATAATCTGGCATATTTTATTTTGTTTAAAAACATCATTTTGAGAAGGGAGCCATAGGCTCCACCAGCCCAACAAAGGGGTACGTGACATACACAAGAATTAAAAGCTTCTGCCCCACGTGAAACCCTTCTTGATCCCCACACCCATCTGGTAGTCCATTTTCCTCAAATTGCTGTTGCTGAGTTCAATCATTCAGTTATGCACAACTCTATGTGACCTCATAGACTTCTGTCTATGGGGTTTTCTTGGAAAAGATACCAGACTGGTTAGATAGTTCCTTCTCCAGTGTGCCTCCATTTTACAGATGAGGAACTGAGGCAAATAGGGGTTAAGTGACTTGCCCAGGGTCACACAGCTAGTAAGTGTCAGAGGCCAAATTTAAACTCAGATCTTCTTTACTCCAAGCCTAGTGCTCTATCCACTACCACTAAGCTGCCCCAAACTACCTCGAATTTCTTTGTATCTGTTTTCTATGTACCTCCATACGTATACATTTTGTCTCTCATAACTTGATTGTAAACTCCTTGAAGGTATTGTGATTCCTTTTTTGTACTTTTGTTTCTATCACTTAGCACAGTACCTGGCACACCATTGGTGCTTAATAAATGCATGTTTATTGATTGATGAAAGGAAGAGTTCTAAACTATCAAAATCCATCTCTAACAATGTTTCTATGACTCATCTGCACTACATAGAGAAATGCATTTTAATGAGTATGTTAATTTAGACTTTGAAGTGACCCTAAATCAATCATTTTTATCCAAAAAGATATTTCCAGAGACTGAATCATGGGCATCATCTCTGGTTTTCACTTGATTCATTAAAGAAGCATTTGTGAAGCACATTCTGCGTACAAGGCACTGAGCTGACTAATTGGAAGACAGACCAAAATCAAAAAGCCTATGCATTTTAGGAGCTCATATTTGCTTGAGGAGTAAGCAAGATAAATTCAAAAAAGTATATGCAAAATAGATATGGATGGGACCAGGAGGAATCAGGAAAGGCTTCATGTAGGAAGTTGCACTTGAGCTGAGCCTCAAAGGAAAAGAAAAATAAAAAGAGTCAGACACTGAAGGAGTATATTCCAGACATGAGAGACAGCCTATGCCAAGTGAATGAGAAAGTGAAGGGGAAGTGAAATGCTTACATGAATCAACCACATAATGGTCATAGTTACCTTTTACATAGTGCTCAGGGATGTGTGGGTAAATGTTTAACCATTGGGTCTTTGAAAAGATAAATAAATAAAAGCACCAAGCAGTTTTAAAATTTAATTATCATTATTAACATTTTTCTCTCTTTCTTGAGCCCAGATAATCAGCAAAACAATAAATCAAACCCTAATTTTTAACATTTATTGACTTCAGAGGTGCAAATGATCACATTGGTAATTCACTGGATAGCCCATTTGAGCTGCCTTCAGCAGACCCCTGTCATATTAAAAGTCTGGCTAGGACCAGACCAATGATTTCTCATTATTGTGCTTCTCCAGATCCTTCAGTTGATCATGCCACTTCATTACAGTTTTTATTATTTGAAAAATGAGGTTATTTTTAAATGTGGCTAATTCTGCCTGGAGATCATACTTGCAATGAAAAAGTTATGAAAATTGTTCTTTAAATTATTGTGCTTTATATAAAAGCATGCGTGGATACTATTAACAGCTTCAGTGTTTATAGCATAGTGTGACCCACATGAAAATGAATCAGCTCAATTGTTCAAGACTTTCTAGTTATTTAGTCAGAGTACTTTTATTTGTAATATTATAGCACAAACCACAAATATTTGAGGTTTATTCTTATTTGAACCACCTATTATCCTTGTTAAGCAAGAGATTTCTTCAGCATCTCTGGGGATTTTATCTTTAAATAGAAGGGTATCAACCTTAAGTCAGTCAAAAATATTTCCCCATATGGAGGAAGGGTGAAGTGGGAAGCTATTGAGGAAATAACAGTGGGGGAAAAAAAGGCATCAATTCTTGCTTATTTGGGAGATTTGTATTCTACTGGACTGCTGTAAAATCATCACCACTTGCTTTTCCTCAAAAATGATTCAAAACAATGAAGTGTTGTGTCATAAAAATAGCCTACTAATGCTTAGAAAGAGGCCTAGCATCTAGATTAAAAAAGGTCAGACCAGTGGTTCTTAGCCTGTTTTTTGTGTTGTGTGTCCCTTTGGGAGTCTTGTGAACCCTAGAGTTACCTACATGTTGTTGCCTACATTCATAATTGAAGGAAATACTAAATTTCCATTAGAGGGTAGTGAAAATTAAGAAATAATTTTTCCCCAATCTATCCACAGATTCTTTGAGTGTTAAGAACTCTTGGTCTAGACCAGATGTGTTAAAGGGTAGGGGTGAAAGGTATTGGGAGGGGCTTGCAGCACTCTTAAGTGCCAACTGGATTAAAACATAATTAGGAAATACTTAACAAAATAAACAAAAATACGGTAGAACACAGGTTATGTAAATAGGTGTTTTTTTTTAAAGTCACTATACAGCCTGCAGGGATTCTTACAGATCCATCAGTGACCCTTGTTTCTATTAGAGTTTGAGACCACTGGTCTAGACAGTGTCAGAGGCTAGTGTGCCCAGATGACATCAGAGACCAGCAAATAGAAGCCTAATTGTTTTTTCAAGCCCTCACTCTTTTGATTCATGGAGAATACTGTTGTAGTGAAATAAGACTGAATGGTAAGCTGGTTTCATTCCCAATGTATAGTAGAGTTCCTGGCAAATGGTGGGTAATTAATAAATGCCTGTTGATTAACTGATTATCAAAGGAAGAGAGCTCTTTCGCTTAGTGACTTCATGTCTATTTAGCTTTATTCTTTACAATTTGTGGTAGCAAGGTAGTACCTTCGTTAAACAGGGTATAAGACTTGGAGTCTGAAAGACCAGAGTTTAAATCCTCCTTCGCATGAATATTAGTTATTTGACCCTGGGCACTTCACTTAACTTCTCTCAATTTTTGTTTCCTCATCTGTAGAAGGGAGATACTTACCTCACAGTATAGTTCATAGGAGAAATTGGGATGATATGTGCAAAGTACATTGCAAAACTTCAAGTGATAAATGTGAGATATTATCACTTATTACTATCAATGTTATCATTACTGTCAGTAATAATTGCTAATAATAGTTTTATGTAATGCTATGTTCCAGGTTCTATTGTTAAGTGCTTTATAATTATTATCTCATTTGATCCTTACAACAACTGTAGGAGGTAGGTGCTATTATTATTCCCTTTGTATAGATGAGGAAACTGAGGCAGACAGAGGTTAAGTGACTTTCTCTGGGTCACACAGTTAGCAAGTGTCTAAGGTCTTGAACTCAGGTCTTCCTGACTTTAGGTCTGGTACTCTATCCACTTCATCACCTAGCTGCCTATTATATCATTATTTTTTACCTGGAAAAGTGGAGAAGAAAAACTGATTTGAAGCAAACTAGGTCACTGGACTAGGGTTTAGGAAGACTGGGTTCAAATACTGAGTCAGATCTCAACTATGCGACCATTGGTGAGTCATTTAAACACCATAGGCCTCAGTTTCCTCATCTGTAAAAGTGAAGTATTAGACTAGATAGACTCTAGCAGTCCTTCTAGCTCCAAATCTCATAGATGAAATCACCCTGGCCATAAGAAAGGATATCAATCATCACAATAAATTCATACTGGTTAGAAAATAGAAAAGTAGACCAATGGAATATCCAAGGAATATTTAAAATAATTGTACTCCATAACCCAATATTTAATAAACATAACTTAGCTAAGAAAGAACTCCTTATTTGAAAAGAATTACTAGGAAAACTAGATAGCAATCCAGCAGATATTAGCCTAGGGTCTACATCTTATGTTACCTTCCCTAAAAATTAAAAAAAAAAGTACACATAAAGTGACTTAAATTAGCTAAACATGTCCATACCCTTTGACCAAGAGAATCAGCTGCCAGGAATATATCCCAAAGAAGTCAATGACAAAAAGAAATGTTTCATATACATCAAAATTTTTGTAGCATCAGTTTTTAAGACCTGGGATCAAAGGAGATGAGCATAAGTTAGAGAATGACTAAACAAAGTGTGGTACATGAATGTAAAGGAATATTTCTGCGCTATAATAAACAAGACCTTAAATGCTATGGAAAATCATGGAAGTCTCATATGAATTGCTGTAGAAGTGAAGTAATGAGGGCTAGGAAAATAGTATATGCAATTAGTGACACAGTATAAATACAACAACAACAAAAAATGAAACTTTATGTTGTGAAATTATAATAACCAAGCTTACTGCCCCTCAAAAAAATACAAGAAGGCCCCATCCAATTTTTAACTCCTTTACAGAGGGAATCAATTTTGCTGAATTTTTTTTAAAAATTCTTTATTATATGAGAGAGTTAGGGGGAGAAGGAGATAGAATGGGAAATATAATGTGAAACAAAATCAATTAAAGAAAAATAAATATGTAGGAGTGGAGCTCAGGAGATTTGCCAGGGCTGGATATATGAATTTAGGATTATTGATTTACAGATGATTGAGGAAGAAGGGCAAAGGAAAGACAGACAGACAGACAGACAGAGAAACAGAGACAAAGAGACAATTGTTCAATTATTTCAGCCATGTCTGACTCTTCATAAGCCCATTTGTGGTTTTCTTGGCAAAGCTACTGGAGTGGTTTGCCATTTCCTGTTCCAGCTCATTTTACAAGTGAGGACATTGAGGAAAACAAGGTTAAGTGACTTGCCCAGGGTCACACAGCTAGTGAGTATCTGAGGCTAGATTTGAACTCAGATCTTCCTGACTCCAGGCCCTGAACTGGATCCACTGCACCCCCTGGAAGCCTTAAAGAGAGAATATGAATAACCAGAAGGGTAAGTTCAATGAGCAGACTGAAGAGAAGATATTAAGAGCAGAAGTAGATAAGAGTTGCCCTTGTCCCATGGCAGACCAGTCTTCCTGGTCTGAATGCTCTGCTGCATTCATTGTTTTACATTAGTAAATGGAAACACATGCTTGAGACAAATACCATAATGCAGCCTTTACCGAAAAACAAAACAAAACAAATAAGCAAAAACATTCCAGAGCTTTTTTTTCTTTGTGCACATATATTTGTTGTTATTGGTTTTCCTTCTGCCCTTTCTTTGTAAAATGGCAAGGAAATTGAGCGTGGCATAAGCTGTGGTAGAAGAGGTGACTTGCTTCAGAGAATATAGTAAGTGACTCCCTGGATGTTAATGGTTATTGAAATCATTTAGAGTTAGTATCATAAGCATTAAGCTCAGGTATGTGGATTTAATAAGAAAAAAACAATGAAGGTTTCCCTTTGTATCATTAAAATGCCTAGAGAATGATGAGTAAATATACATGTATATGCAGAATATGTTTTCTGTATCTGTATAAAAATATGAATTCTATATTCCTTTGGCCTCCTATACCATTAATTGTGACTGCTAGTTTGAAGTATTAATCTTTTGGTGGTTCCCTCCCACCCCCATTATCCTAACAAGAAAGGTGCATCTTTTTAAGTATTATGACAGCGTAGGACAGAGGCAAAGAAAAAGAAATAGGAGGAAGCTATGCATTCTTTGTTTGCAATAACAGGATTCTAAACAAACATTAAAAGTTCAATATTATAACCTCCTTCTAGATAACCTTTAAAGACAGGCTGGAAGGAAAAAGTCCAAAAAATAGAGTCACAATATCTTAGGAATATGCAAGCTTTAACAAATATAATTGCTTGAAGTATTATTTTTCACCCATATTAATTCCATTCACCTCTTCCCCAAATTCTCAGATCCATATGGGAACCTTAAATACATCTTGCCACAAAAAAGTTAGGTCTAGTATTGCCCTCTTGGCAAAAATTTTAATGACACAATTTGGCATCTATCCCTGGCCAATATCTTTAAAAAAAGACCCATGAATCATGGCAGCACCGAAGAAGAGAACTTGGTGGTTAAGCAAGCCAGATGATTTGCATTCTCTTTCTCTCAGCAACTGTATTGTGAGAATCTAGTTGCCTCCTCCATTCTTTTATTAAGATCCTTCAGTGTAAGGTCTAATTTTTGATCAGTGTCACTTAGTCAATAAATATCATCATTTTATGTTCCTCCAGTTTATATTTAGTAATAGGAATCCCCTTCATTTTGAAGAGTATAGTTCTAAGAGATTGCATAGTATCTAATAATAAAAATAATACCTAGCATTTATATATTGCTTTAAGGTTTGCAAAGCACTTTTACATGGTATCTCATCCAGTCTTTATAATAACCCTGTAAGATAGATGCTATTATCTCCATCTTGCAGATGAGGAAACTGAGCCTCTGACAGGTTGTGTGCCCATGGTCAGACAGTTTGTGTCTGAGACATCCAGTCAGTAAGCATTTATTAAGAGTCTTCTATGTGCCAGGCACTGTACTAAGCACTCGGGATACAAAGAGAAGCAAAAGACAGTTTCTGCCCTCCAGTAGCTCAGGATCTAATTGGGGAGATAACAAGCAAGCAAATACATATAAACAGGCTGGTTGGTTGATTGGTTGATTATTGTCCTTCATTCTCCAAGAGGACCAACTGACATCACTATGCTAGAGTCAAGTTTCAGTGTGTCCAACAGTGGCTGACCAGACCAATACGAGCTCAGGATGCTCTACCACAGGTTGGGCACAAATGGTCCATGTGAACATTTGGGGTGGATTCTCTAAATTTGCACATCTTCCATTTCTTTTGAGCTGTTTCTATTATGCTTTGCTCACAGAACACAGCACCTTCTCTGATGAGGGCATGCTGTGCTGAGTTGTCCTGTGCCAGTGTCTCCCACGTCACACAATCATTCCAAAGTTCTTAAGGGAGACCTTGAGAGTGTCCTTGTATTGCTTCTTCTTAGCACCATGTGAATGCTTGCCCTGTGTGAGTTATCCATAAAATAGTCTTTTCGGCAATCGTACATTTTGCATTGGGACAGCATGGCCAGCCCATCGGAGCTGGGCTCTCTGAGGCAGAGTTTGAATGCTCGGCTACAAACAAGATTAATAGGAAATTATCACCAGAACGAAGGCACTAGAATTAAAGGGAAAGGCTTCTTGTAAAAGGTGGCATTTTGGTTGGGACTTGAAAGAAGCCAGTAGGTGGAGATGAGGAGGGAGAGCATTCCAGACATGGGGGACAGCCAGGGAAAATTCCCAGAGCTAAGTGATGGAGAGTTTTGTTCAAAGAACAGCAAGAAGGCCAGTGTCAATGGATCAAAAAGAACATATGACGGGAAATCAGGTGCAAGAAGACTAGAAAGGTAGGAGTGGGGGTTGGTTATGAAAGGACAGAAGATTTTATATTTGATCCTGGAGATGATAGGGAATTGCTGGTGTTTATTGAGTATGATAGTGATGTGGACAGACCTATCTGGGGCACGATTTGAAATAGGGTCTTTCTGACTCCAAGTCACATACTCTACCCACTGCCCAACTTACCTGCCAAAGATGTTATAAATACACTTAAATCACTGTTGCATTCTTATTTCTAATAGCTTTGTCATATTCCCATCCCTGGCAATCTTTCCTCATACCTCCCTACCTCTGTAGTCTTGAAATTCTGAGTCTTCAAAATCAAGAGAGAATAAGAAGAAACAAAAGAATAATAAGCAAGTTGCCTCTGAGTTATTATACAAATACCTACTAACCTTTTTGTCCTTAAAAAAAGCAAACAAAAAAAAAGAGCCTTGCTGGAGGAAATCTATCAAACCCATTTTACAGGCAATCAGAAGAAAGCCCAGAGAACACATGATGCAGCAGAGAATGACAGAACATTATCAGCAAAGCCAACCCTGCGGTCCAGATGTCTTTAGTCTGTTGGCTATCCTCCTGAGACATGTTGCTTCTCAAGTGCATTTTTAAATCCAGAAATGACTTATCTCACACTTCCAGAGGAGTTCAGTGACTCAGTATTAGAATTAAGAAAAAGAATCTGATGGAGCCTACATTTTAAAAACTAGCAGCCTTTAAAGTATTGATTTTTCAGGGAGACTAACTCTAGACTGCAAACTGCTGGAGATTGTACATAACTCTGGATATAAGCTAGTTATGGATTGAGAACAAACTAGCTGCCTCACCTATTTATTTGGATCGTTACCAAAAATAATTAATCACTTTTAAATTATCTAGAATCATAGCCTTTACCATTTATTTAAAAAGAAATTCTTTTGAAAATATTCCTATCCATTTGTGAAACTATTCAGCCATGGGTATTGGACTCTTTGTAGGAATATGGGGTCTTGCCAAGCAAAATGCTTGAGGAAAAGAGTCTGTGAAAACTGGTCTATGCCATGACAGAAAGGGGAGTTATTCTAGGCATTGGGGTGGATTTGCTGCATGTAGATAATGCAAATATACAATAAATGCTGGAGAGGAATTGCTTTAACTTCAATTAAATTTAATAAGCATTTATAAAGTAACTACTATATGCAAGGCACTGTGGAAGGTGCTGGGAATTTCAGATAGAAATTGGCAGTCTTGCTCTGAATGAGCTTACAGTCTGATAAAGGGCAATGTATACAAGTAACTTCAATCAATAAACATTTATTAAGCTCCTACTATGTTAAGCGCTAATACAAGAGAAAGTGTGATAGTTGCAAAAGAAAGGTTCAGGCCAGATATCCATTTTAACTGAGATGGACAGGGAGGCTTTAGCAACTTCGACAGGTGGTCAAATAAAGGTATGCATTCCAGGTATGTAGAGTCACGCAAACAAAGGTATAGAATTAGGTTAAAGAGAACAGGAAAAGAATAGAAGCCTAAAAAGTTTTTTTTTTCTGACACAGAATACATAAAGAAGAGCAATATGGGATAAGGCTAGAACCTCCCTTTCTAGCTTTACTCCATATCACTCTTTTTCATGTACTCATCATGAGTCTTGAATGCCAGGTTCAGCAGTTTAAATTTTATTTTATAGGCAACAGATAGATGCTGTGGGCTTCTCAGATGCAGCCTGGCACAGTGGTTAGAGTGCTGGGCTTGGAGTCCAAAGAGATCTGGTTCTGAATCCCACATCTCACACCTCCTTGTGTGATCACAGAAACACACTTTAACCTCTCTGAATCTCAATTTCCTTATGTGCGAAAATAGAGATAATAGCATCTTATAGTACGTATCATGCAGGGTTATTGTGAAGTTCACATAAGACAGCATATGGAAAGTCTTTTGTAAACTTGAAAGTAGGGTTCTTTGAAACCCTAGCTCTTTCCTACAATAGGGTTTTCCTAGTGGTACCCTATTATTCATACTACCCTCTTCCCTAAAATTACTTTGTATTCATTTTGAATATATCTTATATATTTACTTGTCTATGTGTGTACTGTCCTTTCTTCTCCCATGGAATGTAATCTCCCTGAGGATGAGAGCTTTTGTTTTTATCTTTGCAACCTCAATAACTAGCATAGCGCCTGACACAAAGTTTTTGTTTGTTCAGTAATTTTTCAGTTGTGTCTGACTCTGTGACCCCATTTTGGGATTTTCTTGGCAAAGACACTGGGGTCGTTTGTCATTTCCTTCTCCAGCTCATTTTACAGATAAGGAAACTGAGGCAAACAAGGTTAAGTGACTTGCTCAGGGTCACATAGCTAGTGTCTGAATTTGAACTCTTTAGAAGAGTCTTCCTGACTCTAAGCTCAGCACTCTATCCATTGTGCTACCTAGCTGCCCTCTGACGAATAGTAGACCTTTGCTAAAAGTCCGTTGATTTGAATTGAATTGAAATGAATTCACTCAGGAGTCACTGATGCCCCTTCCAATTCTGAGTTTTGTGATTCTTAGTGCAAGCGCTTTACGAATGTCACCTTATTTTTGTAGAGAGAACCAACACAATCTTAGTGGTACATAAGGAAGATTATCCAGACATTGGTATAGAAAATGGATAGATTCAAAGGCAGAAAAGTGATTTAGGGGAGTCTTGCATAATGTCAATGAGAAAAGAGAAGAAATGAACAAGATGCGCTAATGCTGGAAATGAAAGGGCATGACAACCTAATGCATATGTGGGATGATGGAGACCTAAACATTTTTTTGGATTGACCATATTCTGACTGTAATTTTTACTCTTCTTGAGGGACTGACAAAGGAAAGTAAAAAAGAGAAGATGAAGATTTCAATAAACACTGTCAGCCTGAAACATGGGGCTATCATTAAGTAGTACCTCATGGCACTATGAAAACGGTCTCTACACTCGAAAGTTAGTCACAACAGAAACAACTCAAGGACATCCTAGCCAGCCTCCCTGTAATCTGGGGTAGGTCTGGTCCTAAAGAAAGAGGCTGAAGATCCTAGAATTTGTCAGAGGACCTGTTTCTAAACCGAACTTCAGCCACATGCCACCTCTGTTAACTTGGGTAGGTAACAATCTCCTTAGGTTGAAGTTTCCTCATCTGCAAAATGAGAGGGTTGGTCTGGATGACGTCTGAGATCCCTTCTAGCTCTAAATAAATGAACCTGTGAATTATGATTCATTGAAGAATATGGCAGTGGTATTGGAAGAATCCCCTGAGTTGAACCATTGATCAGTTGTGAAACCAGTAGCATAGTTTCTTGGAATTACATGATGATTATAATCTACTCAAAAGGTGTGCCCGAGGGAAATTGCCTGGAACTCTCCTACAGACTCCACATGCAGATTATAACCCTTTTCATAAACTACTATACACTGTCAAGCAAAGAATAGCAGGATCTCTTAATGGTTTAAAAATCCCAGAGGGAAGACATTTGCAATAAGAGGAATGAGGAGAGGTCTCCTGAATGAGGTGGGCTTTGAGATGAGGTTTGAAGGAAGCCAGAAAGGCTAGGATGCCAAGGTGAGAAAGAAGAGCATTCTAGGCAACAGAAGACAGCTAATGCTAAGGCAATGAGTCAGGAGATAGAGTATTGTATGTGATGAACATCAAGGAGTCCAGTGTAGCCAGATTAAAAAGTTCACAGAGGGAAATAAAATGTAAGACACCTAGAAAGGGAGGAAAGGCTGAGATGCCTTGCCTTTGGGAGGATGCCTCACTTTCTTAATGATTAACCTAAAAATCAGGGCAGAGAATGAAGCAATGAGGAACACAGATGACATTTCCTCCCATCTAAACCAAATTTGTCCTAGGTTCTCCAATATGTTTTTAAGGCAGTCCCTGAGGTAAATTCTACCTTTCCTCCCTATCTTTCCATTCCTTGATACTTCTTAAGCTTTTTTCATTATTCCCCTTACTATACAAGGAAAAATTTTTTATGAATGTTTGATTCAAGAAATTTAAAGCTATTGATCTGACTTCTGGCTATGATTGTCACTCTCTCACTCACTCATTTTCATTACAGTTCATGAAGGCAGTCAATTCATAGTGAGATATGGGTGTTTGGGTACCATGTGAATGTACTTGCCTCATATATACACAAATTCAATTTCTTTTATTGAAATATGTTTAGGGACCATGACTAGTATAATAAAATAACCATTCTGTTATGATCAAGAATCTGCAAGTTAGTAGCTCATGCCTATATCAACGCTGAACATATTTTCTTTACATGTCTATCATCATCGGAGGCTCTAAAGATGTTATGGTGGCCCTAACAAACTAATATTTGCCTTGCAAAACAAAAGAAATATATAAAGTGTACTCGAGTTCTACAAATGCCATGTAGATGTGCTAACAGCCCTTTATGAGGACTACAGCAATCACTTAAGTAAGTAAATAATTAAACTGAAAAATAGAACAAGCAATACAGTCATCATCTACTGCTAGTCTATTAACTCCTTGAAGGCAGGACAGTTTCATATTCTTCTTTATATCCCTAATGGTGCCTAGCATGGTGCTTTGCACATACAGGGCACTAAGTAAATATATGAATGAATAAATACTGAATTTCTTTATACATGATGGGCATTGTCTATATGGCATGGTTAGATTTTTTAAATGTTGATGAGATTATGAAGTCATATGTTAGGACATACGTGCCAGACCTAAAATCAGGAAGACCTGAGTTCAGATTTGATCTCAGACACTTCCTAGCTGGGGCAGCTAGGTGGTGCAGCTGATAGAGCACCAGCCCTGGAGTCGGGAGGACCTGAGTTCAAATCCAGCCTCATACATATAACACTTACTAGCTGTGTGACCCTGGGCAAGTCACTTAACCCCATTGCCTAGCAAAAACAAACAAACAAACAGACAGACAGACATTTCCTGGCTGTGTGATCCTAGGCAAGTCAACTTAACCTCTGTTTGCCTCAGTTTCTACATCTGTAAAATGGGCATAAATAATAGCATCTACCTTACAAGGTTGCTGTGAAGATCAAATGAGATACTAATCACAAAGCATTTAGCACAGTGCCTGACACTATTATTATTAGATATTATTAAATATTCTAAGAGGCCTCTGAGAGCAGCTATTCCCACAACCTTTAGCCTTCCATTTCATGCTTCCATCAGAGGCACACCATCCAGAAAATGGAAGAAATAACATTGGCTACTGTTTTATTAGGAGAATTAATGTCAAGTCAACCTGAGCTCTACATCTTAAAAGAAAGTTGGTGCTTCTGGTAATTACTATATCCTTATTTCTTTGAAGGTGTCTGTTTCAGCATCCATCAGAGGTTAATACTCTAATACAAAGTCCAAAATCTGAATTCTGTCTTGAAGGTTTAAGATTCATTCAAGCAGGATGACTCCAGATGCAGAATTTCACTTTTGTGATATTTTTTATTTCTTGTGTACCACTCATTTTTTTTAAATTGTCAGTTGTTCAAGGACCTTGCACTAACAAATGCCTACTCATTCATTGGTTCAATGAATAGATACTCATTGGATACTATATGCAAGGCATTATGCTAGCAACTGAATTCATTTATAGAATAAATAAGCTATGAGTGTGGTGGGATAATACTAGACTAAGAGTCATATCCTTGGTTCTAGTCATGAATCTTCTACTACTACTACTACTACTACTACTACTACTACTACTACCACCAGCACTACTGCTATTACTGCTACTGCTACTACTACCACTGCTGTTAGCTAGCTTGCTAGCAGTTATATAATGCTTCACATATTTTAAAGCACTTTACCAATATTATCTCATTTGATCCTCATAGCAGCCATGGGAAGTGGGTGCTACTATTATTCCCATTTGAAAGATGAAATATCTGGGGCAGGCAGAAGCTAAGTGACTTACCTGGGGTTACACAATGTCTGAAGCAGTATTTAAGTGCAGGAAGGTCTCCTGAATCCAGGTCCAGCACTCGATCCAGCATGCCACCTGCCTTATGACCCTGGGAAAGACATCTAATATCCCCAAACTTCACTTGCCTTACCTATAAAATGTAAATAGCAACATCTGTTCTGCCTGCTTCTTAGCTTTGTAGATTTGGAGGTGGAAAAGGATAGATATCATCTCCTCTAGGTATACTTAAACCAGGAGTTCACAGAGTCCTAAGGGATTCAAGAATAGATGTCAAGGTGTTAACTTGGATGGAGAAAAAAATAAATTATATGTTTCTTTTCACTGACCTCTAACTGAAAATAAACATTTCCTGCCATTAAGAATTAAAACAATGACTAATGGGAAAAATATGCTTACAGATTGCATGCTGTCTTGGGGGGGTTGCTGTGGGAGGGAGAGAAAATTTAAAACTCAAAATGTTATGGAAGTGAATGTTGAAAACTAAAAATAAATTAATTAATTATAAAAAGTAATTAAAACAAACAAATGTTATTCTGAAAAAGAATCCCTAGACTTCACACAGGCTGCCAAACTGGGTCTAAGCTACATGCAAAAAAAAAAAAAAAGTTAAGAACCACTGATGTAGTCCAACTCTCTGATTTTACAGATGAAGAAATTGAATGAAGTCCAGGGAGAGTATTCTACTTACCCAGGGTCAAACAGGTAGGAAGTCACAGAAGTAGGATTCAAAACTCTGACTCCAAATCCAACGCCTTCAACTGTATTTAACAGTTATGATAAGTACTAGATAACATTGTTGGATAATAGTGTTTAGAGCTGGGTTTAACTTAAATAATCTATACATAGATTTTATTCATAAATGTTTTTGGCATTAAAATGGCATCCTACCTTATAATAATGTAAAAATCAATTATTATTGAATCGATATTGATTACCAACTTGTATAGAGTTATACAAAACCAGAATTTTATGCTAAATAAGAGCAAATGGTGAAAATTGTTCATTGGCTTCCCCCCCAAAAAAATTAGTAGTATTTGGATACTAGAACAATTTTTATTCAACCATTTCATCATTTTCGTGAATTGAAATTCTCCTGTTCATTAAAATTAGAACCTAGTATGTAAAATATCTACATTTTATCATTTTGCTGAATGCATGACTTTATTACAAAAATCTCGATGGCTAATATCAAAATAGGATTTTTCTACTCTCAGCTTTTCCACCCAAGTTCATGCTTTTAAAATTTATACTTTACCTTATCATGCAATTGCAAAATCATTTGATTGCCAGGACAGGCAAGACCTTATTAACAAAACCGCAAAGTCCTCCATTTGATTCTTCCCCTGACCCTGGGTGCCTCACTAAATAGCCCCTCTAGCACTTTAGAGTCATGATTTTTCAGTGGCAGAAAAATTTAGACCCTTTGCACTATATTCACACTGTGGTTCAAAGGGATTTTTCATTCAGAGGAAGTGATAATCCCTTAAAACTGAAAGGCAGCTCTTTCTGAGGCTCATCTCATCACTGGTAATGAGATGTGTGGCAACTGCTGATGCCAAGGAATTAATGATACCCAGTAAGTAAAGAATAGAAAACCTGGGTTTGTGAATTATGCCTGTTGTTCTGTGTCTTCTAAGCAGGAAAATGGAAAGATCCTATGCCATCATACTTATTATGATATTAAAACTATGGGAATTTGATCAGATAAAAGAAATGCTAAATGAAATTTCTCCATCTAAACACTCATGTCAAGAAAGGCAATTTTAGTGGTGCAGTGGTGTAAGCATTTTGTTTTTTCTGCAATAAAGCCATCAGATCAATAAAAAATTATGTAGCAGATTATTATTACACTGTGCTCACCATAGCTCTAATCGTAAATAATACAGCAGTTATCCTGGTTATATTAATTATAATTAGAATGCAGATAATGCAGACGGTCTTTTATTACTAGAGCCAAATCAATTTTCCAGTGTTATTCAATGCAAGGTCACACAAAGTTGTTGAAGCTCTTAGACTTCTTGTGAAATGACCTGCATATGCAAGAGAGGGTTTGGCTCAGCTGTGCAAGAAACATTGACTGGGAAAACGCATTGAAATAATTAGAGCCATGAACTCTTGCCTATAATGGCAGAATTTCATTTTATAAAGTAAGCAGAGCTGTAATCCAACCTCCTTTATGGTGGGAAGCCTCATAAATCTTTCAGAGAAGACCAAGTCTTATGTTTAGGGGTAAAGCAGAAATCAAAATGAATTTGTTTGGATTGTTGCTCTCCCCTCCATTTCCTCTGCTCTGTACCAGTGTGTCATGGCTTTTAAATGCATAGCTGTGTATAACAATAGTAAGAAGAAAACAATAAAACCACAAAGTAATATACCATAAATACATCTAGCTTTTTTTTCCCCACAAAGATACAGGCTGTTTTTTTTTTTCCCTGTGTTGTCACACCAGGGCATAAGTGGCAAACTGGGGAAGCGGAGGGTGACGGGGACAGATGATGAGGCACCAAATGGGGGCTGGGGATGAGGGCAAGAGGACAAAGAGAAAGACAAGGATATTCCAGGGGCTAACGTGAATCAAAGGAAAGGGAGTGTGATAAGCTATAAAGTGGAGGGAAGGGGCAAAGCAGGAAGTGAGGAGTGAATTACCATTGCTAAAATCAAAGAGTCAGGATACCCAGGCAAGAGGGAAAGAATGCAAGAATAGTAATTGTCCAAACAAAACCTTAAAACCTAGGAGCCTGAAGGCCAGTGAGGTGAGAAACAGAAGCCATGGTTCAAAGCAGGCAACCACTGAGATTCCAAAATGCCAGGGTCTTGCCAGGTCTCACAATGGAAAGCAAGACATATAAGTGGGTCTAATGTGAAGCTCATTGCTTTTTGCCTTCTGTATAGCTCCTGATTGAACAGGAAGAGGTCTCAGGATGTGGGCCTTTAATTATGAAAAAGGTTGCTGAAGGTAATTAAGGGGGAAAAAGCATTGTCCTAGGTCTGTCTTGGGGAGCAGAAAGGTGGGATTGAGGAAGAGGTCCTGATACATACCAAAAAGCATAACTAGGCATCACAAAACAATGGATTTGGAGTCAGAAGGCCTGAGTTCAAATCCTGACTGCACTTGTATGACCTTAGGCAAGTTACTTAACATCTTTGTTTCATCATCCGTAGAATAAGAAGGTTTCAATCCCTAGACTAACCTTTAAGGTCCCTCCCCATCTAAATTCGGGATCTTATGACTACAATTTTCAAGCAAGTCAATCTATCATGTTTGTCTTATAACAGGGATTCTTAACCTTTTTTGTGTGTGTGACATGGATCCTTTTTGACAGTCTGGTGAAACCCATGGACCCCTTCTTAAATAATGTTTCTAAATGCATAAAAGAAAACACGTAATATCACGAAGGAAATCAATTACATTAAAATGTAGTTATCCAATTTTTTTTTTGTTCATGGACAGTATTTTAAGAAACTATGTTCTATAAAGAGTACAAGCAGAATGACCAGCTCTATGGTACTGCCTTTCCACCACAAATTGGGGTCTAGCCAGTTGGTTTGACCAAAGACAAGGGTTAGACCTGTTCAGGAATAGTTTGTTGGGCAGCCTCGTTCATATGCTTTAAAGCTCACATCATCTTTGACGATTTCAAGTGAAAACCTAGTCTTACTTTTTTTTTAATGCAACCTCACAGTAATAGACAATTTTATTTTGGGTGTAATGTGCTTTTCTGTTCACTGGGAAAAGAATTATAAGGAATCTCAGATTCACTTCTTTTACAAACACTGATTTCATCTGTTGAAGAAAGAACACTGTACAGTAAGATACCTCCACTGTGCATCAAGGCCCTCTGTTTCAGGTGCTTTTAAAAGAGATTGTGAAGTATTAGAGATTTTCTAAATATGATATTAAATTAATTTGAAAAAATACAATTTGTTATTATGAAATGTGTCTTTTAAATCATATTATTTGGGAAGAGGAGGGGCAGTTTGGCATAGTGTGTAGAGGACCTATTTTGGAAATTCAGTCTTGCTTCTGACATGTACTTGCTGTATGACCATGGGCTCCCCTCTAGGTCCTCAAGTGCTGCCATTTGACTGAATTCAAACTTTACAGAACAAATCCCTTTAATAAAAGGATTTGTTCAGTAAAATTGTACTCAGTGAAAAGGCCACACACAAGGAACTAGAAGTCCACATGTGGCCTCAAGGCTGCAGGTTTCCCACCCCTGGTGCTAGGCACTAAATCTACCCCTAGGCAAAGCATCAAAATTCTATGGTAGAATATGATGCCATGGAAAAGCAGTTTCTACACCAAGAGCTATCAATACCAAAAAAAAAAAACCAAACCCTTAATTGGCATTTTAAAAAATAAGAAGAGGAAAAAATATGATAGGATAAACCTCAATTAAATATCTGAGGGAAAATGATTAAAGAAAATAGACTAGACATTTAAGTTTTCATTGATAGGGCCATAAAGCAAATCTATCAGTTTCTGATTATCTTGTCAATCATAATTAACTATTGGAACACACACCACCTGGAGTGAGATGGAATCATGCATACGTAGTATTTAAAACAACATTGTATATAGTCCTAAAAGTCATTCAATTTACTTCTTAATTAATCCAGTGATCACTGCTTCACCTACAGTTTCTTAAAGATAATTTACTTAAAAAATAAATAAATATTAAATGGGGCCATTCATTATCATGCATGACCTTAAACAGAATATGACAAAAACGGAGGAGATTCATCTCTTTCCTAAAAATCATCTCTTCTGGCCATGGTAACCTTTTTTTTTTCTTCTTTACTCAGATTTTAAATTAAGTTGGATGTCCCTGGACTTAGCACTCCTTAGTGACCTCTGAGTGTTATGTGGACCTTGTTTGTTCGCTCTTAAGCCATGAAAACTCTGTTTTTAAATAAGTTCACCACTAAGACAAAGGGGAAAAGTTTCTTCAAAAAGAGAAAGTTAAAATCAAGCAATTATGTGCTGTGATAAAGGCCTATCATACAACTCCTTTCCTTTGTACCCCATACAATCCACAGTCTAGCTTCTCCTGGAGTTTTGTTGCTTTAAGGCTCTGTCTATCTCAGAGGTAGCATGTGTATGGGAGGAGGCAGGGATTGCTATGGTAAGTACTGGAGCTTCATATAATAGGATTGGGGAATTATTCTGAGTCCAAAACATAAGAAAAAAAAGTCTAAAAGTGACCTTGTCGACTGAATTAACTTCTATGTGATTCCGTTTTAAAAT